TTCCATCAAAAAAAAAAAAAAACACAGCCAACCTTTTGAGCTTGTCCATGGCTCTCTCACCTCTAGTGCCTGAGGATCGCTAATCACAATCCAGCAAAATGCATGGAGAAGCTCAAGGGGTCAGGGCAAACCCAGCCTCTCCCAGTTCCTGACAGTGAGTAGCACCAAATCCTCCTGAGGAAGAAACCCTGAAACAAGCAATCCTGGCACAGCCACCATGGGAAGTTTCCTCCTCCTCCCAGTGATCATAAGGTACTTTGCACCTGAACGGTCCCACACTCGTTTATGTATGTAAACCTGCAATTTTAATTCAAAGATGCTGTTGCTACCCACAGTAATGTCTGGGCCTTTATCTAAAGCAACAGTGGCGATTGGCTGTTTAGAGTTAATGGGAAAGCAAGAAGACCTGGAAGTGTACCTCCCTGGTCCCTGCTCTAACTGCAGCCAGCAGATGACAGCAGCAGCTCATCTGTTGCTGTTCCAAACACGCATGATGACAAATCGGCTGTGATTTAAGGAGATCCTGACTGGAACCATATTCAGATTTCCAGGCGGAAAAGGAGTCAGAGACTACTATCTCCACCAAGCAGATGAAGTCCCAATCCCATGGCTGATTTTGCAGGAGCAGATCCTCTGGCACCCACATGCACCAAGGACAGCGGTCATTGCGGGACACGGCCTCCGGTTTGCACAGCGAGTGACAAAGTTGCCAAGGAGAACTCAAAACACCAGAGGCAGTGAAAAACCCCTGCTCTTCCAGGCAATACTGAGAGAAGGAAAGCAAGAGAGTTGCGTGAAAGAGCTGGAAATCGGCATTTCCACCCACATTTGTACCAAGTTACTTCACCGTGCTGTTTCTCAAAGTTTCACTGCATGTTAACAGGAAGTAGGGGCTGGTGAATTGGCTATAAATATAATTTATCAATCATCTGACTGAATTCACTATCAACTTGAAACAGAAGTTTTAGAGGGAAAAAAAAAAAAAAGCACTGGCTGATTACTAATCCACCATAAAACCTCTGTATCCTGAAGAATTACTGCTCTGTAGCCCATTGACTGAGTACATTATATAATGTCTTCAGTTTTTAATTAGTTTTTTTTTAGGCAACTGCAAAGTATGAGGGGCATCAGCTGGCTCAGTGGGTTGGTAAAACCTGGTCAAAAACTATTATCTAACATTGTAGAGAAAATGAGCTTAAAAAAAAAAACTTATCCAAACAGCCTACCCCCCGGAACTGAGCGGTTTCACAGTAAAGCTGCACCTTTCCCTAAAAGGGGATGTGCTTTTAGGTCAACGCTGAAGCCAAAAAGGTTTGTATTGCGCCAAGGGCTTGACAGGGGGCACTAACACCCGCGGTCCGCCGCCGCCGCTGGCGCTGCGGGGAGGTTGTT